CCTCCTGCAAGGATTTGAGAGTGGGTGTCTGTGCACTGCCCAGCTAACTGGGCTTGCCCTGACGCTGTCCCAGCGGTGGATGGGGTCCATGGGCCATCAGGAAAGGAGGGTGGGAGTCTAGCGCCCACAAGGGTAGAGGTGACAATTTCAGCTTTGATAGTGGGCCACCCCTCCAGACTCCTCCAATTCCTTGCGATGGAGAGAACTCCATCCAGGGTGGCAACCTGCAGAACAAACCTCAGCCTCCAGCAGGCTGGCTGCAGCTCCCGGCCCCAATCTGGCCCTGTCCTAGTCCTGATTCGTTTCTGCTGGCTTGGTGGGGAAAACAAAAGGTTGGCTGTTCTAACCAGCCCAGCAGAGCCACAGAAAATCCTCCCTGTGAAGTGTCGATATAGGCGGGGCTCTTCACGGATGCTGCTCTGGCCCTGGCTGGTTTTGTTTAGAGCACCCTGAGAGGGTCCTGCACACTCAGAACCCCATTTCTTGTCTGTTCCTGGCCCCCGTGAGGCCTCGGGATCCCATGCTTGGCTCCCACACTCAGACCCAACCTTCTCTGTGGGTGAAATGTCCCAGGCCTTCAAGAAGTGGCTTGAGAAGACCCTTTGAGACTTGGCCCCAAGGAGTTCTAGGGCTGGAGGAGACAGATCTCCCCTGGGCCAGCGCTGGGTCCCAAGCAAGAGGGGATTAGGAAGGCTTTTTGGAGGAGGGGGCATTGGAGGGAGGTAGGAGACGGGTTGCATCTTAAGGTGGGGGTGCATCTTAAGGAAACCACGAGCCCCCTCCCCGGGGGAGGTAGTGACTAAGGTTTCAGAGGTTGATCTGAAGTCGCACAGGAAGAGGGTGTTGGGGCTGGGGCTGGAATCAGGTTCCGGAGCCCAGGCCCTCACCCATAGTCCTTGTCGTAGATGGCCCTGGGAGTGGGTCTTGAAGAAACAGGAAAGGGGCTTCTCCCCAGGGGGCATCCATCCCGCTTGCCCTTCCCCAGCCCCTCCAGTCTCCAGAAACTGAGACACCAGCCCCCCCCCCCCATCTGAGAAGACAGATCCAAGAGTCGCCTGCCTCACGCCAACGGGTGTTGGTGGTGGGCGATGGTCACATAGGGCAATAGGGCAGGGACAAAAGCAAGATGGAGGGATCCGTGGGAAGAGAGGGGGCAGGGTGTAGCTTCACTGTGAAGTCCTCTCCACCCTGTACCCCCACCCCCCCAGCTGCTCCCAGGGCTGCTCTATGGACGCCCTCACGTAACCAGAGCCTGCCTGTTGCATCAGAGACGGGCAGGCGGCCGTGAGTAAACAGAGCGGCCCTCGGGGGGCCCAGAGCTCCCCAGCCACCTTGGAGCTCACCGAGCCTTGTTCCGACCTGCGACCTGCGTGTCTCCAGCCCTGAGGGCTGCGGGTGGGGAGGCAGGACCCCAGGTGCCCCACTCATGCCACAGAATGAGCTCCAGTTTGGGCTCAAACCAGTGGTCTGCTCTGCCCATGTCCTAGAGAGGGAGCCTCAGAGAAAAATGAGCCTCCCGGGTGCCTCCGCCTCTGATCCCTACCTCAGTAAGCCCCCCACATGCTGCCACCTCTTGCTCTTCCAGGAGTCCAGCTGCCTTCTGTTTTTGCCCAAGGAGAGAGTCATCAGGCCTGCCTGCCCCCAATGTGCCCCCTCCTCACCAGCTCCCAGCCCTTTCGCCCTCTTAGAAAATGCTTCTCCCAAGGGCAAAACTCCTACACACACTTCAAGACCCGCTATGGATACCTCTTCTGGGATGCCCTCCTTGACTTCTCCAACACAATGCTTGTTCCCAAAACTTGGGTCTCCCAATCACTCATCTCTCCCTTTGACCCCACAGGACTGGGGGTGTTTGTGGTTGGTGCTCCATCAGCCCTGGGCTGGGGCTGGTCCAAGAGAGCCGGCAACATTCAAGCGCCTATTTATCTCCATCCTGTGTTCTTCCCACAGGGATTCTCAGGGACCCCAGGCTCACTGTGGACTTAGTGATGCTGATCAGGTCAGGGGCCAGTCTGGGAAGGCCCTCTAACCTGACTTTTGACGTGGAGAGGCCAGCTGTGTAAAGCCCAGAACAGACCCGGGGTTTGGATGGTGAGAGGTGGGCAGTGGGCCTGGGCAGATTTCCACAAGCACCTGTTGCCCCAGGATAGAGTTGAGAGCTGGCGCAGTGCAGTGCGAGGCTTGGCCTTGACTGGGAGCCCTCAAACTTCCAAATCAGAATTAAATTTTTCAGGATTGGAGTCAGTGGTGAGTTATGGTCAGGGTCACAGTAGGGTCGGAGGCTCCCAGGGATGGCTGGGGTAAGCCTGGCCTGGTCTGACCCAGCCGCTTCCTCCACGCCCCCACGCCCCCCACCTCCCGCCCCTATTCGCTGTCCACCCCTGCCCCTCCATCACCATCCGTGACCCCAGTCCGGACTGCCTTCTTTGCGCTCTGGGGCGTGGCCACGCCCCAGCGCCCAGCTCTCACCGCCCGCGGGAACGCCCCCTATGCAAATAGGACCGTCCACCCAATCAACGTTCGGGGGCAGGGCCGAGAACGCCAGCGCCTCCTGCTAGGAGCGCACCTGGGGTCTTGTGCCCCGACAGCAGAGGACGCGCAGTGCCATCGGTCCGGTCTGGCCGCGCCGGGCGGAGCAAGTGCGGGCGTCTTCGGAACTGCAGCCAGGTTGGGGTGAGTTTGGAGGCCCGCGTGTCCCGTCCCGCGTCCAAAGCTGTCTGCTCTCCAGCGTGACCCTCTTAGGATGTGAGTGTCAGAGGGTGGGCGCGGCCGAAGGCTGTGAACCCCAGGACGTGAGTCCGCCGGGGTGTGTGTCAGATGAATGTGTGAGTCCAGGGGTCAAGGGACCCAGATGCAGAGTCCCAGGCTGTGGGAGTACCAGAGGGTGTGTCAGGAGGGTGTATTCTCAGGGAGCGTGTCCAGAGCTGTGACCCCATTCCCAGCCTGCCACAGGGCACCCCAATGCTGGAAGTGCCTCTCTGGGGGGGGGGTGTCCCCGTCTTTGATGTCAATCCGGGGCTACTGATGAGGACTGTGGATGGAGGGTCTTGACAGTGTGGGGGAGCACTGGGGGCACCTGCAAACCATCCTGAATTGAATGTCCCACCTCCCCGGGCACACCCCTTGCACACCCATAATGCCCCTTTGCACAATCCTGAGTCTCTTTATTGTGCGCGTGGCCGCTGGTGTCATGTCTCAAGTCCAGACCTGTGTGTGTCCTAGCTGTCCCACTATGCCAGTGGCCTCAGTGAACCCCTGACCCCGAGGGTGCCCAGCCAGTGGTCAGTGAGCACCTGAATCAGAGTACACAGGCCCTCATCAGTGTCCCTGTCATTAGTCACAGCCCTTATGTCAGCACGCACTCACGGTGGCATGACTTAACCAGTCAAAGCCACCTCCTGTCTCCCTCAGGGGTCCAGGGTCTGGACGACCCCCAGCCAAGAACCAGGAGAAATGAGTTTTGGGGCCCATCCCTGCCACCAGGCCTGCCTGAGACCCTGCCCCCAGAAGGTCAAGCACCCTGGATTCCTCATATCCGGGAGGAGGACATGGGGACGCTCAGCCTCTGGGGATGAGGGAAATTAGCTTTTAAACGGACCCTGATAGGGGAAGATCAGTCTGCAGGGTTTGATGCCAGAGGCACAACTGGACTTCCAGGGACAAGTGGCCTTGCTCCTCCCACCCCCTCCTCCTATCTTCTCTGAGGAGAAGGTGCACTCTAGGCCTCCGGGGCTCCACATACAGGGTGGCAGGGGCTCACGTGCCAAATCTGGGAGCTGTTTATATTGACGGGGGCCCCCACTCTGCAGAAGAGAAGACTGAGGCAGAGTGAGGACACCCCCAGATGCCTTGGAAAAAGCTCAGGGCTCAAAGAGAGTAGCAGGGGGGTCCTAGATGGGAGGCCCCGACTTGCTTCCTGTGTGACCTTGGGTAGGCTGCTGCCCTTCTCTGATCCTTGAGGCCTGAGCGAGTCAAGGCACACCTCCCTGCTCCAACTACTGATTCATTTGGCTAAATCACACCTGGAAAATTACGAGGAGAGTGGACATTAGCACCCACTCAGTCTTGAGGCACCCTGGGGTAGAGTCTGAAAGCCTGGCCTTCTGGAAGGTTAGAAGCACTACATGCCAGGAAGGAGATGTTCGCTTTTCTGCGAGGTTTCTTGGATTCTTGGGCCGGTGCTCAGCCCGACTCCAGGCCTTGAAAGCCCCCTCGGAATGGGCACAGTGACTGTGTCTTGTTTCCCAGGTTCCCTAAGAGCCACTGGGCCCATGTCATTGCGGTGTGTGTAGCTACGTCTCCCATCAGCTCAGGAATGAGAGTCTTGGACCCTATAATACCCGGGGCGCTGGCCAGCTGGTGGGTTTTCAGAACTGAGGGAGGCTCAGGCCTGAGTGTGGAATTGGGGGGCCTCACCATGCGGCCCTGGGAAGAACCGTACTTCCTCCTTGTACAATGGGGGTGATTTAAAAGCATCGCAGGGTGACTGTCTCTGCTTCATTGAGCGGTAAGACAGCAGGCTCTCAGAAGCGGCAAATGGCTGAGCTGAGAGGCCCTGGACCCCACCTCTTCCCACCATCCACCCAGGGCCCAGTAGGTCACAGGCCCCATTATGGTACTCCAGGTCCTGCCCAAAGTTGAGGCAGGACCCCGCCAAAGGGAGTAAGTCACGCCTGTGGTCTCAGGTAAGGTGGTGGGGTGAGAATGCTGGGCCCCCAGGGCCCTCTCCTAACATATTCCCGACAGCCAACACTGGAGTTGCTGAAAATCCTGAAGACATGTTTCCCTTGCTCGCGTGCCCGCCATGGCTGCAGCCCCCCCTCATGTGGCCCTGCCACCCTCCTCACACTCCTCACCCCCACCTGGTCCTTTCTCATTGTGTTCCAGCATACACACCTCCCGAGTTCCAAGGAGTACCACCTCCTGGGGTGCTCCCTGGAACCCTTGCAAGCAGAGTCTCCTCCACATCCCCATGTTACCAAGCTTCTCTCCTCCTCGGGGCTTCCGCTCCTCGGGCACCTGGTGTGGCTACTGCTCTACCTGAAGTACCACAAGTGGGTGGCTTCCACGAACAGACATGCATTTTCTCACAGTTCAGTCGGCTTCCTCGTGGCCATCTGGTCCGCTCGACTCCGTTACAACACTGGCCAGAACCACCCTCTGTGGCTTTCTGAGACTGTGAATCTTTATGGGAGCAGGTGGCTGCACCTTTCAGTAAGCTAGAAGTGGGAATCCAGGCCCGGGGCTTGCTCTCCGTCCATCCTGGGGACAGAGCCTCGGCTGGGCTTCCCTCTGGTTCTGTCTGGGCTCCTTGGCGCTCCTCACACGGCATCTATCTTTCCCCATTGTGATTCCTTCTCTCTTCTTACATCCCCCAATCATTCACTTTAAAATACACACTTCCCCACTATGATCTCATTGACATCACAAGGAAAACCTTATTCCTACAGAAGAGCACATCTGCACGTCTGAAAGATCGTCCTGGCAGCAGTTTGTGACGCCCCTGGACAGAGTGTGACGGCCCCTAGGGTTTCCAAGGCTGCAAAAGCGGCCGACCACCACCCCTTTCTCTCGCAGGGCAGAGCAGCTGGGTCGGTTTCAACCACTGACCTTTCTGTTAGCAGCCAGGGGCTTAACCGTTGTGCCACCAGGCTCTTTCTGTGGGTGTAGGATTTACAGCACATATTTTTTTTCTTTTTTAACATTTTATTAGGGGCTCATACAACTGTTATCCCAATCCATACACACATCAATTGTGTAAAGCGCATTTGTACA